AACCAAGGAACCAAGTCTAGATAGCCGGGAACATTTTTCACTAGAATTTGTACGCCAGGCTAGTACTATTTTGAGGCCTGCAAATCTTGATAAGAATGTGTTTACATCTTCCTCACAGTCAAGGACAACTTTTAAGTCTAATAGGTCCCAACCCTTTTATCCCCAACCCTCCCAGGCTGTATGTAAAATCATATCGAAGGAGAATTGAGGGCTGTTAAGGTTGTTCTTCATTTTCCATTCCTTAAACAAGATTGCTGTTTTGACAAGGCTATTTATAAAGTCCTAAGGGCCTCTCTAGCAAAGCATACCATATCAGAAAGTGTACTTTTTAGGCTGGCATTTCATCAGTATTTCCTACAAGTAGGCAAGACGTTAGTACTGTTAATTCATTTGATTGTAATCTCTAGATATCGCAGCTCAGAACCAGCAACCGATGCGTATTGGTGCCAACATGCCTGTTCAGGCAGCCAGTGTCCAGCCGAGAACTATGAAGTATGTTCCTACTGCAGGTACTCGTAATCCACAGCTTGTCTCAGCCATGCCCAACGCTGCTCAACAGGTAACTAGCTGGACTTACGTTATTTGTCTGGCAAGAGCTCCACAGTTGACATGAAGGGAAAAGATTAATCTCAACTTTGTTATTAAATTTTTGTTTTGGAAAATCTGCTGACATAAAATATAGTTAACAGTCTATTTTCTTAAGAGTCTTGGCTTTGCTCTGAATTCACACCTTGCTGGCTCATAGCTGTCACATCCTTAAGTGTAAAATTGACATGCTCTTCACTTGAAAGGCAAAAGGTTTGTCAGCACCCCACCCTTCTGTACTCAGTACTGCAGATCCCAACAACACAAGAGTGCAAGCAGATCAAAACAGCAGTGGTTAAATTTGGTTCATTCATTTTACAACACAGTCCAACTGAAGTTGTTCAGTGTTACATGAACCGTGTTGTCAGGGTAAACAGTGTACTTGTTTTGTGATTCTTACAGCCTGTGCCTCAGGCTATCGAGGTGTCAGGTCAGGAACCTCTTACGCCAAGCATGTTGGCTTCAGCCACCCCTCAACAACAGAAGCAGATGTTGGGTGAGCGTCTCTTCCCGTTGATCCAACGTAGCCATGGTGAACTGGCTGGAAAGATAACTGGCATGCTGTTGGAGATAGATAACTCCGAGTTGCTTCACATGCTGGAGTCTTACGAACTCCTCAAAGCCAAGGTGAGGAAAATAAGCCATATTTTAATATAGAACACCAGTGTTGCATTGTCCTGAAACCAGCAGCACAGAAGGCTCTTTATTTTATCTTGGCAGCTGGAAGATCTTTATTGGTAATGCTTGATGGAAGTTTGTTCAAGGAATCATAATTTGATTATTTGGTTTACGAGCTTCTCATGTCCAGTGGTTTCTTAAAATATATGGGAATATAGTTTACAGGCTTGCTCGGGTGGGATTCAAATCTGCAACCACCAGTTTACTAGTGCAGACATGATCAAGTCTGTTAATACTTACACGATGCAGGTTGATGAGGCTGTGAATGTGCTGAAGGCACACCAGGCCAAGGAGGGACCCACCAAACAGAGCATGGCTCAACAGCAGTAAAGTCACAGCCATAGCCAGGGGGCTAGTCTGGTAACCTGTCTCCAAGCAGTAACGACTCCTCAAATAACACTGGATAAGGGTAGTCCAGTAACCCATAACTGGGCACTAACTACCTCTAACATGGCCAACTGTTTTACAGAAGCTTTTACGTGGTATTTCACCTGATCACATTTCCCGGATGAAACTTATTAGCTGGTGTAAATCAAACATACATATGGGTTGTCTGCTGGAAAGTTGGCACCGTTTCCTGTCGTCTGTAGCACTACAACAAATATATCCAAAATATCAAAAAAGCAAAAAAAAAATTGCAAAATGGTATAAAAATGGGAGAGAAGGTTGCTGACAAAAATAAGAGGTATTAGTCTATAAACAATTTAAGCATCAACAGAAAAAAATCAAAAGATAAAAAGTCTATAAAAACAGCAAAATGGTAGTGAAGTAAGCAGGTGGGAAATGGCTTAGTGTCTGTCATGAAAGATTTTTGGAGGAGGGAAAACACAAAAACTAAAAACAAAAAAAAACTACTAAAAAAAGCGAGAAAATGCCATCTTGGTGGTGTTTAATAAAATGATAAAAGGAACAGGTAAATAAAAAATGAAAAACATTTCAAAAATTTGCAAACTTAAAAAAATTCAGAACCCTCCTTTGTTTTAATAGTTAACTAGGTCAGTTAATTTGGTTTTTGTTGGGCTGGTGTTTATTCATTTTAAAGTAGATTTGCCCTTGTTCTTCTCTTTTTATGTATGTGTAACAAATATCTTTTTGCATGGAGTAGCTTATTTTGACGACATAGCTGGGTCTTGTTACATGTACAGGACAGTGTTAATGAGGATCATATATCAAAACTCAAAAGTACTGTGCAACATTGGGCAAGTAAGATCAAGGACCATAGTTAACCATAGTTTGACTAACTCTGATCGGACGCACGTTGGGTTGGTCGCATCGTTGGTTGCTATAAATTATTTTTAATAGCACAATGCAGAGGACCAGTTGAAAGGAAAATGCTGGGAAACAGTATGTCGTTAGTAAACGACCATTCTCACTTTTAATGTTATTTTTCCCTTCCTGCGGCCACCTTTTGTCCCCTTGACTAGGGTCATTCGCACTTCAACATTACTGTACATGCTGTAGGTATTGTCCAACCACTAGTGGTCTTTGATTGAACTTGGCCTTTTCCTGGACACTGCACTGTTGGTTAAGTCATAATTTGTTCAATAATTAACAGCTACTGGTCAATTTTCCCTGGTAAGCTGTGCATTAAAACATCCAGGATACCAGCCAAAAATCAACCAGTGGTTGACAAATTGACTTGCCATAGCTGCAACACAGTTATCCCTTTTGTGTACTCTTGACGTTTGTTGATCAGAGAACATGTGTTGAAGAGTGCATAAACCGGAGAGGTTATTTTGTTTTGATGATGGCAAGACTTGAATCCAAAGATCAAAGCTTTGTCAATGCTGCAGTTCCCAACTACATGTAACTTTGTTTTAATAACTTCACTGGTTGCTTGTTCTTTGTGTTTCTAATTATAGCATAGCTTGTTTTACTTTCTGTTGAAAAGAGGGCTAATCAATAAAAAGTGAGTTGAGTTAATACGTGTGGTTTCAATTGCAATTTGAATTCTCCAGGAGCTGTACCCTTTTTCATACCAACTCTGAACACACTGTATCCAAAGGCAATCAGTTGTGTACACACACTCATCAAGGGGTGAACTTCTTTATATCAGATTTATTATGGCCAAAGGAAATTAGAAAAACACTGAACATGAATTTGACATTCAAAAAACTGACCCTTGAAAGGTTTAAATGCTTACACCTCTACCACACATTAAAGTAACAAACAAGGAAAGAACTTTGCCATCAGCTCTGATTTTTCATAGAGTTGTGAAATAATTTGGCATACGGAGGATGGCACATGTTGGATTTAATTGGGATTTTATAATCACACAGGTCAGGTTACACTTGAACAAAAGTCCCTTTGTGGGTTTCTTCGATCAGGTACATTTATTACTATAAACATTCTGCCTTCAGGGTTTCCCTGGGTTGGTGATGAATTAATGATGGTAAATATCCAGTGAACACCAGTGTGCATACACGGTGACGTCATGGACAAATCACTACTGAAAACACTAGAATTTGGTCTTCTAATTAATACTTTGTGGACATTTTAAAAATGCATAGAAAGCCAACAAGTTTAGCAACCTAATTCCTAAAATCTTCATTAACATTTTGCCACTTTCAATCCATGTCAAGTAATGACTGTGACATTTCTCACATTTGTCTTCCTACCTACACACATTGTACATGGCCATGTTGTCATGGGGAGGTCTAGTGTTTTAGACGTAAACCAGTGTGGCAGCACTGCATGCCTAATGTGATTTCAGGAGTTAAGTCATTGCACCTGGGTATGTGGAAACTTCCCGCAAAAATAATGGTAAAATAAAAAAATTATTTTTCATTTACTTTTTCACCAGTGGGGAAGCAGTTGTGGCTAAAAAGCCTGACGCGGTTACAAATACATGTAATTGCAAGTGGGCCACTTTGATTTGAATTGTCTAGGAAAACCCTACTGGATGGATTTCTTCTTGACTTTCTTCCTCCTTGGCAGCTTTCTTGACAAGATGATACATAAAGCTATAGAAGAATAGCAGGTTATCATACTGACCCCTGTAAAGCTTCCTCAAGATAATCGTATGATAGTCAACCATGAAGTAATAGATCGCTTCTATGGTAGCTAAGTAGGTTCGTGGCTTGCGATGCTGCTTTCTCCAAAACGCTGTTTCCCTGTCTTTCAAAATGACACGTTTGATTCCTTGAACAAACAAAGAGATGTGTTTATTGGTGAGTTTTGAATTTGTTAGTGGACATACAAGCAAATTACGTGGTTTGGACTCCCCACAAAGTAAATGTAAAGAATATCTTTGGTTTTTCCAGGTCTTGTACAAGCAAATGGAGTTCAATGCAGCTTTCATTTTTGAATTGAATTGACTGATAACACCACATTTGAAGCAAGATATGGGACAGAGTGAACCCCCCCCGCCTTTGTGTCGGTCATTGTTTGATCGG